ATGAATTATGAAAGTTCGCAATTCTTACAAGTCTATGTCTAGATCATGCAAGAACTGATATTTTCCCCTGTCAGGATTAAAATCTCAATATGTCTATTGTGAACCCTAACCCTCAAATCCCTATATGAGTTATCAAGTCATACAAGAATGCATAAAAATAATTCCGAGGTAAATACAAACAACTTGAGACAATTTATTAAAGAAATAATTTAAACCACAAAAGAATTCACATTTGATGCATATCCCTAACTACTAAGAAAACTAGCCAGACATAGCTGGCTTAAAAATATTAACTAAAGAAGAAGAAGAATCAATGTTGCTTAGTCTCCTTCAAGCTCCTCTCTCTCTTTGAAATCTCCAACTCTGGTATCCGATGTTCTCTTCCTCCTCTAAATCTGTTTGCCTCTATCGAATTGTGTCTCTGTGTTTCCAAGAGATGCTTTTTTATAAGGATGAAACCATATCTTTTAATTTTCCATAATATCTTCAATGAAATCTTCACTAGAATCTCCTATCATATCTTTGATTCAATCCTTCAAATCTTTCCTTTTTTATTTAATGGAAAACTTTCCTTAAAAATATTCAAACGAAGATTTGACAAGATCTTGAATGATTCAGAAATCCAAAGCAACTCTACTTGATCTCTTCAATTTATCTCTTTATTGAGCTGAAATTTTCTGCAAAATATAAGAAATCTTATGAGAATATTATTGAAAATAAAATAACAATTTAATTATAATTCTCATTACTTTCAATTACTTTCAAATAATTATTAATATTATCATTCAAATGATCATAACATTAAATGCATAAATTACTAGATACACGATAATATATTACAATAACGATACTACATATAGTAATAACATTAAATGCATAAAATACTCTATATGACCAATCAATTAATAATTCAAATAATTATTATCATAATTTGTCATTAGTCTTAATAATATACATTATTTTTATTATTATTATTATTATTATTATTATTATTATTATTATAAATTACTATTATTTTTCTGGAATATTACATGAGATTTTCAGTGTTAATTCTTATGTTTAGAACCCTAATGATATGATTTATAGGTGCTCATGAGTTAATAACCGTTTATAGCTGTTGGCTATGATGCACGGACACGGACACGGGACACGACACGACACGACACAACACAACACGCCGACACGTTAATTCTAAAAAATGTCATATTTCGACACGTTGGGACACGTTTTGATATTAAATAAAATTTTTAATATATATAATATGATTTATATTTAATACATATAAGAGTCCATAATAAGTCATATAACCAATCAAATATTTAAATTTCATAACATAAATATAAATATAAATAATTTTTCGTACTTTGTTAATTTTTAATATCAAATTTCATAACAGAAAAAATTAATTTATAAATTATTTCTTTTATATTTAGTTAACAAAATAAAATTAAGATTTAAAAAATAAAAAAATAAAAAAAAACGTGTCCGAGCGTGTCCCCAAATGTTGACCGCATATCGGACGCGTGTCCGAGCCTGTCCGTGTCGGACACGTGTCCGACACGCAAATTTTGAAAAAAAATTCGTGTCCGTGCAACGGAGGCTGTTGGACATCTAAAATTTCGAATTACTTAAGTCATTAGTCATTCCTGACAGCAAGTATTCAATTACTTTTTGTGGAGTATTCGAAAACTTCTTCAAATCCAGAAAGTACTCGATTACTTGTTCAACCTTGAAAAATATTCAATTAATTTGCAAAAAGTATTCGATTACTTTTATAAAGAAATCAATTTTCATGTTGGTTTTCGAAATTCAATATATCTAAGTGAGTTCAAGTGACTTCTAAATGATTTTAAGTAACTTCTGACATATGTATAATCATATTTTACACTTGCATAACCACTCTTGATTTGTGTGAACCTTGTATGCATGATCAAATGAATATGTGTCACCTATATGAGTTTACAGACTTATAATGCAATCCTCAAGATAAAAACTCAATAAACTCAATCCTATAAATTTTATGACTTAGATAATACTTTTTAAAAAGTCATAATTCATTGCTCATACAAAAAAGCAGAAGTTAAATATTTTTTAAAAAATATAATTTTGTCCCAACCCCACCTAATCACTCCACTCCATTACTATTGTTACCATCCCATATCTAGTAATTTTATAAATAAAAAATGCTTATTAATTTTAATATTTAAATATTTTTTTATTTAATTATGTAGTACGTCCAAACATAAAATAACTTTAACTTTTGAAAAAATTAATTCTAAAATGAAAGTCATAATTTTTTTTTAAAAAAAGCTCATCCAAATAAAAAAAACTTTAACTTTTAAAAAAATTCATTCTAAAAAAAGTCATAATTTTTTTTTTTTTAAAATGCTCATCCAAATCAAAAAAGAAAAAAGAAAAGAAAGAAGCAATCCACCACGCATCAACTTCCAACTCACACCAATCATCCATTTCATTTGAACAATCATGAATTTCTTCTAGATAACTTGGTCATGAAAGCTTTCCATAAAGATATAAATAGAAATACCATGGCACCTGTACTGGTGGTGTACATAAGATGTGTCCCATGGAGGGTGTAATATGTTGATATAGGGGGTGCTCATAGTGACAATGGTAAAGACCAAGGCATTAGTAAAGCTTCCCATGTATGTGCATCAAGGGAGAGTGTGTGTGAAAGCTCTGCGTAGAGGAAGAGTAACAACATAGGAGAAGGGTGAGGAAGAAGATCCCCTCTCCATGTGTGAGAGGGGTATTTAGAGAGGAGAGTCCCTCTCTAACATGGGGGAAACCATTGGTTAACCCCCCTTGAGCTGTTTCATCAAGCTGTCCACTGTCAGTGTACAGGGGCAACTATTAGATATTAGGTATAAGGGTAGTTTAGTATTTCAGTGATATTCTAGATCTTTCTCTTTTCTGTTATGCTCTTTTATATAAGAGCTCAATCATTGTACAAATTAATCACCACAATCAATGAAATCAATATTTTCTCTTTACTCTCTTTTACCTTCTAATATGGTATCAGAGCATTTTTATCCTCCATGAATGGAGATTCCGCTGCAATCATTTTTTTTTTCTTCTTCTTGTTTCCTTTCTTCCGGATCTAATCCCGATCTGTGAATTTTTTTTTATCATCAAAGCTACGTCATAACACTTTTCTTTCTCTTACTTTTTCTTTTCCGGATCTATTTTTTTTTTTTGCTCTGATGGTGTCTTTTTCTCTTGTGATGCTTTTACCATTGTCAATCGCATCTCCTCCTTCTCCGGTTGTATTCTCCATTAGTGATTCTGGCCAAGGTTCTTTTTGGTCGTCTTCCATTGCCGATCTGTTATGTTCTTGCATTTCTTCTATTATTTTTTGTTAGTCAAATCTGATCAACATGTTTTCCGATCTGTTTTTTGGTTCTGTTTGGTATCTCTTACTCTAATCAGACTTGTTTATGGTCTGTTTGTCTTCTTTCTCGCCTATGGCGGCGCGTTTTAGTGTCCTTTTGGCCATTTATTTCTTTGTATTGTCCAGATCTGGTCATGATCTAGTTTTTCTTCTTTTTCGCAAGATCTGCTCCCAGTTTGATTTCTTATTCGTATCTCTTTGATCTGACATCTTTTTCTTCTTGTTGATGTTTCCGCCATACATGGCGGCTTGGTCCAGTCATTATTTTTGGCTGCATTTTTTTTTTTTTTGGTTTCAGATCTGGGAATTTTCCGGCTGCGTCTTCCTCTTTTCTGGTCATCCTCTCCGACCACGTCTTATTCTCCGGTCGCATCATCCATCTCTCCGACCGTTGTTCCAGATCGTTCACATTTCAGATCTGTGTCTTTTTATCACCTCCGACCATGTCTTCTTCTCCAGCCGCTCGTCGGTGGTGTTTATTTTCTAATATTTTTTTTTCCTGATCTGTTCCAGTCTTTTGTTTTCTTTCTCTTCTCATTTTGCAGGTTTGTGAAGATTCATGGAGCTCATGGATGTTTTTACAACACTGCTATTTTTTTGGTTTTTTGATTTTTCTGATGTATGTTTCTGGCTTGTATTTGGCCATTTAGATTTTATTCTCACTGATGTTATTCAAGTTTGCTGATGTTCATTTCAGAACATTTGATTTTGCCGATGTCCATCCCGGCACCGTTTGGTATTTTGTGGCTGATGTCCCTTCCAGTCCTCTCTTCGTGAAGCTGATGTCCATACCAGCACCATTGATTTCGCTAAAGCTCATTCCAACACACTGAAGATTTTGATTTCTCATTCGGGAATTTTTATTTGGTTATTATGTTTTCTTTATTTTTCTTGTTCAAGATGGAAGTTCTCTTTGTTCACTCTCCATCTTGAGGGGGAGTATTAGATATTAGGTATAAGGGTAGTTTAGTATTTCAGTGATATTCTAGATCTTTCTCTTTTCTGTTATGCTCTTCTATATAAGAGCTCAATCATTGTACAAATTAATCACCCCAATCAATGAAATCAATATTTTCTCTTTACTCTCTTTTACCTTCTAATAGCAACAGTGCAGGGATGGAGAATGCCCGTAGCAGGAGCTTGCCATGGGTGCCCTCTAAAAAGTTCTAGATATGAGCTTTAAGAGGTTGAACCTATCTAGTGAGTCTAAGGTAAGTAGTATCCAGGACAACACCGTTGTAAAGGGAAGAAAGCTAAGAAGTAGAAATCTTAGTATATCTTAAGAAGACTGATAGTTTAGGCTGATGATCTTCATTGCACTTCGAAGCCTAGCTCATAATTTGGGTTCTATGCCATAATTTGCCCCCCTCAGTGATATTTTTGGCTCCGCCATTGAATTCATAAATTTTAAAAATAAAATACATGTGATGGACAAGCCCATCGAAAGAGATCTGCAACAAGTAAAAAGTATTTTAAGGACGCACATGAAAAATATAGTGAAAGACTCATTTTAATTTATTAACTATATAAATTTTGTTTAGTATATAAATATAAAAAAAAAAAATTGACCTCTCAGCAGGGCAGGGCTAGAATTTCCTAGGGTCTCATGATATTTTACTTTATCGCCACTGAATGACATGCATAGATAAGAGGATTTGGGTTTCACGAGGGAACGTTATCAATACTTGCACTACTATTATGAATTCGATTCAGGTTCATTCTCCTTTGTTAATAAGGTCTTTTAAAGCCTCAAAAACATTCCCATCGTTCAAATGCTGCAGCAGGAGTTCAGAGGAGCAGGAAAGTAACGATTTCAAGGACGCACTGTCTGGGATTGTGGACGAGCAAGTTCAAGAGCTCTTGAGAAGAAAGGAGAACAAGGTTTTGCTGGATGGGCTAGAGAAGGCATCGCTGAGGGTTGAGATGGCCAAGAGAGAACTTGCTTTGATCCAAAAACAAGAACTCGCGGTAAAGCAATTCAAGGATTACATCAACCAGCTTGAAGGCAGAGCTTCCGAGGTATGTTCTTGCTTTGTGTAATGATTTTTTTATTTTTCTTCATCAGGAGTCAAAATCTTAGGAGGATTTCGTTACCAAAATAATAATAATAAATAAATAAATAAAAATCTTAGGAGGATATATATTGGGTCAAAATCTCATAAAGAATTGGGAGCTGGAAAAGTTAAATCTTATTAATCCCTATATTTTGCTTGCAGTTTTGTTAATTCTTCTGCAGACGGAAAAGAAAAGAAAAAAAACAGGAAAACTATCTGTTGTAACACTTTGATTGAAGATAAACTTCAGTCTTATACCTTATTCAAACTCACATTGAATTCTCGTGTCATTAGTAGCAAGTTAGATAGGAGTAATATATAGTGACAGACAGAAGATTATAGGTACGTGTTACACAAAACATTACAAGCAGCAGTGAGCCAACGAAAGTGGTCAGGGAAAGAGTCCCTTCATCCAAGCTCAAGGATTATTACTGTTGATGAGTAGTGGATAGGACATGTGTAATATGTACGAGAAGTTGTGTGACAGCTGTTATATGTTTGAGAAGCCTTGTAACTAGCATAGATACACGTGACAGAGGATGCTTAGAGGGTAGTTTGTTAGAGTCAACATAAGAGGATTGTATAAAAGGTGTTCGATACATTGTTAGAACCACCTTTGTAAGAAATCATTTTGTTAATTGAAATAAAATACTGTTTCTCTCTGTCGCTCAGATAGGAAACGTAATACTGGTGCTTTCACTTTGGATCTCAAGTCATAATGATGGTTCAGGAATTGGCGGAGGTGGTTGTAGCTTTGCACCAACGTTTCGAGGAATCACAAAATCAGATCACACTCATGGTTGCTCAGATGCAACAATTGAATGAATCAATGGGGGCTCCTCACCCACGTCCAAGAAATTCACCGAAAATTCAGCAAGAACCACTTACACAACCAGCTACGTCAGAGACGATTGATGCTCAGAATGAGATGGGGAACAGGGAGCTTGCAGATCCAAGATCGTTGCTGAAATTTGTTAAAATGGAGATTCCATTATTTGATGGCACAAACCCAGATAATTGGGTTTTCAAAACGGAACTCTTCTTCGACTTGCAAAGGGTTCCATTGGTGTTGAAGGTCCAACTAGCAGGTCTGAGAATGAAAGGACCTGCTTCGTCGTGGTTCCAATGGACCTACAAGGGAGGAACAATTCGATTATGGCCTGATTTCACGAAGGCATTAAAGCAACGCTTTGATGTGAAGCCTCATCAAAATATTACGGGTATGCTTTCCAAAGTATCACAGACGGGGACGCTCAAAGATTACTTGTTTGAATTTGAAAAACTGATGAATCAAACTACCAATCTTGATGATGAATTGTTGTTGAGTTTCTTTGTATCCGGGTTATCACCCGATTTAAGAAGAGCCATTGAGCTTCATGAGCCAAAAACTCTTCAACGAGCAATGCACTTTGCGTTTGTTTATGATGCCCATTTTACAGAGTTATGGGTTTCCTTGAATAATGGGGTATCTGCATCGAAGAAACCTCAATTTCGTAGCTACCAGTCAAGCGAGGGTGCAGCAAACCAGGCATCAAATTTGTTTCCATCAATGGGGAGCACAATGCAAAACAAACCCATAACGTCCCAGACTTCAACGTCCCATATCACCACGTCTCAAACCACAACACCCCAGGTACCAATCAAAAAAATATCTCAAGAAGAGATGAACCGAAAGAGAGAATTAGGCCGATGTTTTAGTTGTGATGAAAAGTGGAATAATAAACATAGATGTAAAAGTAAACTTTTGTTGATGGTGGGAGAAGATCATGAGGATGAAGAAGAAGGAGAGGAGATTGTGTGGAATTTTAATCAAGGGGGAATGAGCAATGAGGATGCTGCACTGCATTCTTTGTCAGAGACACACAACTCCAAAGCTTTGAATTTTCTTACTAGCATTCAAGGGAAAACAATGGAGATACTAGTGGATACAGGTAGTACCCATAGCTTTATACAGAGAGTTGGCTGCAGCTTTGAATTTTCCAGTGGTGCGAATCAGGAAAATGAGAGTATTCCTTGGTAATGGAGAATTCTTGGTATGTGAAAGTAAATGTCCGGAAGTTAAATTGCTGGTGCAAAACCAAGTGTTTGAGATGGATTTATGGGTACTTGATCTTGCCACACTAGGGATCATTTTGGGGATGACTTGGTTACAATCCTTGGGGAGAGTGACACTTGATTATAACCATTTAACAATGGAATTTGAATGGCAAGGAAAGCTGGTCTGGTTGAAAGGAGAGTCTCGAGAGGGAATTCAAGATAAATTTGCAATAGGAGGTTGTTTGTCTATAGCCTGGGAAACACAAAGACAGTGGAAGATTGAAGTGAATGGTGATTTATTGAAGTTGCTATCATCTGTTCATCCAGACTTGTGGCAAATCTTGGTGGAGAATCAAGTTGTCTTTTCTATTCCAAATTCACTGCCACCCTTTCGGCACATGGATCATGCAATTCATTTGGAGACAGGAGCTAGACCAGTCAATGTAAAGCCCTACAGGTACGATCATCATCAGAAAGAGGAGATCGAAAAACAGGTAACAGACTTATTGGCTTCAGGCTTTATCAGATACAGCAGAAGTCCTTATTCTTCTCCGCTTTTGTTAGTTAAGAAATAAGATAAAACTTGGAGAATGTGCATTGATTATAGGGCTCTAAATGATCGTACTGTTAAAGATAGATTCCCTATGCCTACTATTGATGAATTGATAGATGAATTGGGAGGTTCCACTATTTTTTCCAAGCTTGATTTGAGAGCGGGATACCATCAAATCAGGATGCTACCTCAAGACATACCAAAAACAACATTTCGTACCCATGAAGGCCACTATGAGTATTTAGTCATGCCTTTTGGTTTGACAAATGCTCCAAGCACTTTTCAGGCAGTGATGAACCATATGTTTCGGTCTTTCTTACGCAGGTTTATCATTATTTTTTCCGATGACATACTTGTGTATAGCTCTTCATTGGAGGAGCATGTTCAGCACCTACAAATTACATTACAAACTCTTAAACAGAACCAGATTTTTGTTAAATTGAGTAAATGTGCCTTTGGGGTGGAAGAGATCGATTATCTGGGCCATAAGGTGTCACATAAAGGTGTGCATGCAGATGACAAGAAGATAGAAGCAATGCTGTCTTGGCCACCACCAAAATCAGTCAAATAGCTAAAGGGATTCCTAGCTTACAGGATATTATAGACGATTTGTGAAGCATTACGCAACCATAGCATCACCCCTAACTGATTTGTTGAAGCAAGGAGCTTTTAGTTGGAGTGAAGAAGCTCAGAAGACATTCGATTACTTGAAGGCTGCAATGGCAAGCACCCCTGTTCTGGTGTTGCCAAATTTCAGCGTTCCATTTGTTTTAGAAACAGATGCATCTAACTCAGGTATTGGGGCAGTGCTGTAACAACAAAATAGACCAGTCTCGTTCTTCAGCAAACATTTGGGTCCAAGGCTGGCCATGGCATCTACTTATGTGAGAGAGTTGTATGCCATTTGTGAAGCAGTTAAGAGGTGGCGACAATATTTATTAGAGCACATTTCACTATCCGGACATACCATAGAAGTATCAAGGAGTTGTTGGGGCAAACAATCCAAACCATGGAACAACAGAAATACTTATGTAAGTTGTTGGGATACTCGTTTACTATTGAATACAAACCTGGTCATTTGAATGTAGTTGTAGATGGGCTGTCCCGTTGCTTTGAGGAGGAGAGTTTAGCTGCAGTCCATGCTCTAATAGGGGAACCAACCTTTGATCTGCTAACTCATATTAGAGAAGAAAATGGTACTGATGTATATCTGATTTTATTGCACTAGAAATTGTTAACTGATCCTTGTTCATTACCTCACATTTCAATCAAAGAAGGCATGTTATTTCATAAGCAACGCTTCTTGTTGAGTCCTAAATCAAGGCTCATACCAGAAATATTGCAAGAGGTTCATGACTCGACATTGGGGGGACACACTGGGGTGCTTCATTCTTTACTGCGAGTGTCATCCTCATTTTATTGGGACACAATGCGCAAAGACGTCAAGGAGTATGTGCAAAATTGTCAAGTGTGCCAACAATTCAAGTCTTCCACATCAGCTCCACAAGGCTTACTCCAACCATTACCAACACCAGAAGGTGTGTTTGAAGATCTGACATTAGACTTCATTGTGGATTACCATTATCGCACGGGTATACCTTTATTTTGGTCACTGTGGATAGACTGAGTAAATTTGCTTATTTTGGTGCATTACCTACTTCATTCACAGCTGCAAAGGTAGCTCATCTTTTTTGTGACTTGGTAGTTCGAAATCATGGGTTCCCACGCTCGTTAATATCAGACCGTGATAGGATTTTTCTCAGCCAATTTTGGGTGAGTTTATTCAAACAGAGTGGCACCACTTTGAAGGCAAGTACAACTTACCATCCTCAAACAGATGGCCAAACCGAGGTGACTAATAGATATGTGGAACAATATTTACGTGTTTTTTGTCATGAGAAGCCACACACATGGTCTCAACTTCTTTGTTAGGCACAGTTTCATTATAACATTGCAGTCCACTCGGCCATTGGCATGTCTCCATTCGAGGCTCTTTATGGTGTAAGAAACCGGTGATGTTACCTTATTACCTAAGAGGATTAGTGAAAGTGGCAGCAGTAGATTCATTGCTGCAAGAGAGGAATGAATTACTTGCTGGTTTGAAGTGCTCTTTGGCTCAGGCTCGCAATCGAATGAAGAACCAGGCGGATAAGCATAGACAAGAAAAGTTGTTTGAAGTTGGAGATTTCTTATGGGTTAAGTTACAACCATACCGCCAAATTTCTGTGGAGAGGAGGTGTAATCACAAGATGGGGAAAGGTTTTCTTGGCTTTTTTCGAATTACCAAAGTCATCAACTCTGTGGCATATCAATTATACCTTCCAAAAGGGTGCAAATTTCACCCCACATTCCATGTATCGTTACTTAAGCCATGGTTCGGTCCTGGCTCTCCAAAGCCATTATATGTTCCCAAACTATCAGTTGATAATAGACTTGTGCAAGTACCAATTGCTATCCTTTCCTCACGTACAAAATCAGTCCGTGGTCACCAGCGAAGGGAGTTCCTAGTACAGTGGTCAGATGCCCCACCAGAGGATGCATCTTGGGAGCAAGAACGATACCTGCGCAGTGCGTATCCGGAGATTAACCTTGAGGACAAGGTTGATGTTGAAGAGGGGGCATATGTTACACAAAACATTACAAGTAGCAGTGAGCCAACGAAAGTGGTCAGGGAAAGAGTCCCTTCATCCAAGCTCAAGGATTATTACTGTTAATAAGTAATGGATAGGACATGTGTAATATGTATGAGAAGTTGTGTGACAAGTGTTTTATGTTTGAGAAGCCTTGTAACTAGCATAGATACACGTGACAGAGGATGCTTAGAGGGTAGTTTGTTAGAGTCAACATAAGAGGATTGTATAAAAGGTGCTCGATACATTGTTAGAACCACCTTTGTAAGAAATCATTTTGTTAATTGAAATAAAATATTGTTTCTCTCTGTCGCTTAGATAGGAAACGTAACAGTACGTAAGTTTTCCTTTTTTAAAGTTTTATTTTCCCAGAATGTATCCTCATTTTTGGCCTAATTCTTCTTCTGATGATCGATTCAACCTCTGATCAAAAAGAGAAATCTTGGTTCTATTTTATCTCTTCAACAAGCTTAGTAATGAGCATAGTGGCCCTATTGTTCCGATGGAGAGAAGAACCTATGATTAGCTTTTCGGGAAATTTCCAAACGAACAATTTCAACGAAATCTTTCAATTTCTTATTGTACTATGTTCAACTCTATGTATTCCTCTATCCGTAGAGTACATTGAATGTACAGAAATGGCTATAACAGAGTTTATGTTATTTGTATTAACAGCTACTCTAGGAGGAATGTTTTTATGCGGCGCTAACGATTTAATAACCATCTTTGTAGCTCCAGAATGTTTCAGTTTATGCTCCTATCTACTATCTGGATATACCAAGAAAGATGTACGGTCTAATGAGGCTACTACGAAATATTTACTCATGGGTGGGGCAAGCTCTTCTATTCTGGTTCATGGTTTCTCTTGGCTATATGAAGATTTTGGGTAAATCCAAAGAACCATTGCTATCCATAATGGAAAAGAACATTTACCCATATATATAACAGATCGTATGGTCGGCCATAAATTGGGAGAATTTTCACCTACTCTCAACTTCCGAGGACATTCAAAAAATGATAATAGATCGCGTCGTTAACGTTAATTTTAACGCGAATTTAGATAGAAAAATATAACTTTTTGGTCAATATATATATTCGTGTCTGTTCACAACACAAAGTACGAATAGTAATTGATAATTTTTTTTGATAAGGAGTTAGGATACTCAAACTTATGCTTTAGTGATTTTAATATCTTCTTCTATTTTTTTTTATACAGCAGGAAATAGAAATATTAGTCACAATATAGATTTCAACAAACTAAGTCAATGAGTCATAAAGATCTATTTATAAAAAGTACTATTTGTGGGCTATAGGGACAAGAATCCCTCTGACCTCAAGGGATTTTATTTGTGGGCTTCCTTATGGAGCATTTGCAAATGCATTCCTAGTGAATTCGTTTTGATTAAAAGTACTATTTACCTTGTGATCAAAAGTTCTATGCAGTTTACCTTGTGACTTTGACTTGATTTCTTTCGATTGCTTGTTTTGTATGAGTCATTACTAATAAAAATTGAGTGATGTAAGATTGCAGAATGTCAAAGAGAAATAGCAGAGGCGAAAGCCTTGGTTGAGGAAGCAGAACGCTCTCTGTCGCTAAATGTCGGAGGACCTAAAGATGGGGGTGCATTCACGGGGACGAAAAGTGAAGAAATTGATCGAGATGAAGAGAGATGGGAGTCAGTAAAAGCAGCATCTATTTCTGCCCTTGTCGGTACCTTTTCAGGGCTCCCCATATGCTTCACTCAGGTCACCAACACAACTCAGCTGCTTCTCCCTTTGGCAATCAACTTCATTAGCTGTGCATTGTTTGGAGTGACTTTTCGATACACTATAAGGAGAAACTTGGATAATGTTCAGCTTAAGACAGGTATAGCAGCAGCGTTTGGTGTTATTAAAGGTAATCACCTCACCGTGCTCACATGTAAATTTTGCCTCTATATCAATTTGCTTAATGTTTATGTTGTCTTTTTCTTTTCTTCTGTGGTCTTGAATTGAAAGCTTTTTTGAAACAATACAATCTAAATAGAGTTAATTGTAGTACTGAAACAAACTCGTGATGCAGGTCTTGCAACCCTTGGTGGGGGACCACTTCTTGAACTGAACTTTGAAAGCTTCTTATCACATGTCCAGAATGGAACAATTTATGTGTCTGAGAATCTTTTCATTTTTGTTTCTGCTGCTGTTGGTCTAGATTACTGTTTAAAGACAAGGCTTTTGAGCCCTTTTCCAATTGATAGATCAGTTTAGTGGCAATTCGAATTAATTTTTCCAATTATCGTAGCTTAAATTAACATTAATAAATTTGTTGATATTGTTTCAAGTTTCACATCAATAATAGTCCATTCTATAAAAAAAAAAAAAAAAACTTACTAATGGTCCATGCTAAAAGTATTTCATTTACATTCAAATATTTAATCATTTGCATTGCTAAGCTGTGACATTTGACTTATCTCAATTAGCTCTGCAGTATTTCTTTTTTAAATTCATTCAGTTTAAAACTGATTTTTATTTCCAGTTTGATAGAAAATGGTTCAAGAATTAGGAAATAACAGAAAAGAAATTGAATCTTTATAGCTGTAGCCCCATGAAGCACTGATTCTGATACAGTTTTTTCGATACGTTCCTGATACGTGACTTTGAAAATACTATTATTTCGATACGTTCCGATATGTCTTAGTATTAAATAATATTTTTAATATAAAGAGTGTATTTCAAATTAAAAAATAATAATAATCAAAATTAGAGGCTAGAGCTGATGAATTTCATAATGAATCATTGGGGGTGATGATCATAGACAATCAAACCTTATCATAAAATCGTTATTGGATATGGGCTATATAACAAAATTTGGAGTCCAATTAGAACGGTGGCCTGTGAGGCCCAGAACAGGAGAAGACGAAAATTCAAAATTCAAACGTATGTTGAACGGGTGCATGAAAGGTTCAACATGAAGAATGCTAAATCAGTTAGCACATCTCTTGCCAGTTACTTTAAACTGAGTAATAAGAATGCCTCGGACATGTTGATGAAAATTGTTACTCGAGAGAAGTTTGAGTTGTGCAAGGAGCTCGTACACATGGACACCAAGTGAAGAGTTAGTTCATGGTTTCCTCCCTCGTGATCACGTAGGGTGAGATTTGTTGAGTCCGTGACTTTTTTTTTTTTACAAGTGGTGGGGGCCATGCCCACTTACCACTGTTTGTTTGAATTTTAAAAGAAAAGAAAGAGAGCATTAGAGGTGGAGAGAATGGGCAACGAAAAGAAAAAGAGAGAGGAAGAAACAATGAGCAAGAGGCAGAAGCGCCATAGAGAGCAAAAGAAAAGGAGAGAAGGTTTTCTCTGGTGGATCCAACGGTGAGACTTCGTCGGAACAAGCTCAAGTTTCAGGGGAGTGTTCGTGGTTTCTAGTAGTTTACATCCACTGGTCATTTTGTGGTTTGGAGGTCTTTAGAGCCACAAATTTGGTTTTCCTCTTTTGGAGCTTCTTTGGTGATTTTTCTCCATACTCCATCTCTTAATTTCTATCTTGTTGATAATGTTGTTGGATTCCTCTATTGTTATATAGAGAGATAATATTATGTATATGTACTTATTATTATTGATTGTTGATAGTGAAGATTTTGGTGGACTCCGATAAAAGTCTCATGATTTTTATTTTCACGTAGAAAATTCTTATGTGCCATTTATGTTACTACTCTTATTGCTATTGTTATTTTTCTGAGTTATAGGTTTAGGTCAATTTGCACTTAGTTATTATGTTTTGGCCCAAGAGTTACAACATAGCCAAATGCTATTGAATACTCGATTCTACGTAATTTTAATAAGATTCTATTATGAAAACTGAGTGGATTACGGCAGAAAAATTCCAGATCAAGATTTTAATAAGATTCTATTTTTTGAAGTAATACTTGAAAGGAGAAAACAAAGATATATATATATATATATATATATATATATATATATATATATATATATATATATATATATATAGGGGTAGGATCATTTGACACCGGTATCAAATTTAAAGTTTGACATCTCATCTGAGAGCCGTTAGATCAAAAAAGAACAATGGTGTCACATGCTTACAAATCAGAGTCGTTGATATTTTTTGACACCTTATCTGAGAGCCGGTAGATCAAAAAATATCAACGACTCTGATTTGTAAGCATGTGACACCATTGATCTTTTTTGATCTAACGGCTCTCAGATGAGGTGTCAAATTTGAAATTTGACACCTCATCTGAGAGCCGTTAGATCAAAAAAGATCAATGGTGTCACATTCTTACAAATCAGAACCATTGATCTTTTTTAATCTAACGGCTCTCAGATGATGTGTCAAATTTCAAATTTGACACCGGTGTCAAAGGATCCTGCCCCTATATATATATATATATATATATATATATATATATATATATATATATATATATATATAAGGCATGATCTTCTAACTTGGCGGAGAAAGAAAATGTAATTTTTATGTATGACTGGTCAGACTTAGTTAAAATGTGATAGCTGTACATAACATTATCATCTAAAGTGGCTGTAGAAATATTTACCTCTATATTTAAATATCTAAAGTGACTGGATACAAGGGTTTGTCCGGTCAAATTATAACTATGTACTACGGGTAGTACATAGTTATAATATTAAAGTTATTTTTTTAACTATGTACTACCCCGTAGTACATCAACAACCCTTTTAACCCAAGCTAATTGGGGTCGGTGGTAGATGAACCTGTGGTACATAGTTAAAAAAAAACCTTAATATCATAACTATGTACTATCCGTAATACATAGTTAAAAAATGTGTTACTGGACAAAATCTTATATTCAGTAACATGATAAACAATTTTCATATATATATGGGTTTAACTTTTCTTATGTTGTAGGATTGTAGGAGAGAAAAAAAGTAGAGAGAAGTTAAATGTGGGTCCCATATTTTATATTAAAAAAGAAAAGAAGAATTATTTGGCACGGAAAACGAATTTGTGTAGGAAAATAAGAGTATCTCATGTGGCATGAGAGTATTATTTCCCTATATATATATATATATATATATATATATATAGGGAAATGAATCGGTCATGTCACATGATCAGCAATTTTTTTTCCAGCAGAGAGAGCGAGATGTGGGTCCTACATAAAATAAAAATAAAATAGAAAGCGCTATTTTCGATGGGAGAGCAGGAAAAAAAACTTTCCAGCAACATAACAGTTGATTTTCCTATATATATATATATATATATATGGACTTTTTTCTGCTTCGTCAGAAATCTAGTTTTTAAACTTCCCATTATTATATCGAGTGAAATGATCTATACTTGTTTTCATGCTGCATGAGCAATATGTTTTGAATGAAACATGACTGAGACATTATAAAACTCTAAACTAAAAAGGTAAAAAATGGTAATAATATAGGGCTTTATTAGTCTCCTTTTACATAAGATAGTTGTCGTATGTTGTAGAGATAAAATGAGTGGGTCTCACCATTACAAGAAAAAAGAAAAAGAGAAAAAGATAGAGTGCGAAAATCGAAGTGAAAGAACATGAGAGAAGTTATCTTATGTGAAAGGAGAGTAATATTTTCCAATAATATAAGCAAAAATATCGATCGAGATACAACAAAAGCACATTAGCCATAAAATCCATTGGCTCTGTATCAGTTAGAAAATAAAAAAAAAACCCGGAAATTGTATCATCCTATGGTAAATAACTAAACATTAGAAGTTACAAAATAAAAAATACAGCATCCAATTTTAACAGTCTTCAAAATTTTCATCAGTTCCCCCCTTTTTTTGACTTTCTGACTCGAGTAGATGATGAAAATCTTGCCACTGTTCCTCTGCTTGTAGCTTGTGTAGTTTCTCTTGTTATATTGGCAGTAGGTGGCCTAAAATGGATAGCAGATGTTGGGGTCATTCCCATTCTACATCTACACTAGGGTCTTTAGCCCCGTTAACAGTCTACTTTATTAATATTTATTAGATTTTACTGAAAAGCATGGATTTTGGGTATAGAAAGTCTCTTACCGTCAGATTCTTTTTATTATATAATTGAGAATTCAACATATGATATAATATATACTACTCAAATTCGTTACGACTGTACCAAACCTAGTGGCTTTCTTACCGTCAGATTTTGGTCAACAGATTGTTAGGAACTTTGTGGCCATTCATCGTAATTCTCTCAGCTGCTGGCTGCTGCACTTGCACCGACCTTGGAAACCTTTTTCCTTCTTGGTTTACAAAAGGAGATGAACAGCCATAAACTCTGTAACTTATCACATGGCAGTTAACTTTACGCATAGGCATGTCAAGTGCCACCTTGAAGTCATTGTTTAAGTTGGACGAAGAAATTTAAAAGGCTTAACTTGGAAGTGAGTTTCATAAATTTAGGGACCAAATTTGATACACAAATAACTTCAAGGACTTGTTAGTTTACTCTTTTCTTTTTTATTCAGTCATTTATTTTGGCCAAGAATTTATTCCTGGAACTTGACAAATGATGACAAGATCTTCTAAATCTTCACGGACAAATTATTGAGAGTTGATTTAAGCACAAACGAAAAATTTGTGCAGTGTTATAGCAATCTTTCAATAGTCTTTTTCTCCAACCTCATTCAAGGAATGCCGACGAAGCTATTACCAGGCTCCGGTTTCTGAACTCCCCTTTCCAGCATTGATCTTCTCTCTTTGCTCATTTCATTCCATTGACCCGTACTTGCATACATGTTTGCAAGAAGAACATAATCACTGCTATGGTATGCTTCCAATTTCAATAGATGTTTTCTTACCTTCTCACCAAGTTCAAGATTTCCATGAATTCGACATGCAGCTAACAGTGTCCTCCATACAATTGCATTGCACTCAATTGGCATGCTCTTTATCATTTTGTATGCTTCCTCAACTAAACCAACTCGACCCAAAAGGTCCACAATGCACCCATAGTGCTTTATTGTGGGTTGGATGTTATAGTCTTTGCTCATAATATCCAAATATCGTCTTCCTTCATGGACAAATCCTCCATGGCTACACGCACATAGCACTCCCAAGAATGTAACATCATTCGGTCTCTCCACGTTCTCTTGTAACATTTTTGTGAAAAGTGCTAACGCCTCTTGTCCATTACCATGTGAGGCAAGTCCAATAATCATGATATTCCATGAAATTATGTTTTTCCCTTTCATCATGCTGAATGTCTCGTAGGCTTCTTCCAGTGCTCCACACTTTGCATACATGTCAACAAGGGAATTGGCGACTGATGTAGTCTCACCAAGATTAGTATCTTGTATGCAGGAATGAATCCACCTCCCAAAATCTAGTGCTCCTATTGCACCACATGCTGAGAGGGTCACTACCAAAGTTGCATCATCAGGTTGCATGCCACTCTGCAGCATTCTGGTGAACAGCTCGAGCGCTTGGTTATAGTTTCGACAACATACGTGACAGTCTATGACAGAGTTCCAAGTCACTAAATCTGGATTCGGCATTTCCTCGAACAGGTTGTGTGCAGTTTCTATGTCCTTCAGCATGCCGAACATATGCATGAGAGAATTCCCGACATAAGTATGAGTTCCAAGACCAAGTTTAAGGACGCTACAGTGCAGTTGCTTCCCCAATATAACTGATCCCAACCCACCTACAATTTTAAGAAAGAACGAGAAAGTGAAATTGTCTGCTGCCACATCTACTGTTCCCTGCATTTTCCGGTAAAAATCAATTGCCTTTTCAGGTTGGCTAGTCTTCCCAAAGCCCCTAATCATGGTGTTCCAAAGAAATGCATCTGGCTTATCAATCCTGTTGAAAACCGAGACCGCGTAATTCATATCTCCATGCCCGGATACCGCACAAAACACAATAATCTTTCCAATGACAAGGAGGTTCTGATCAAACCCAGTCTGGATTACACGAGCATGCATCTGCTTCAAATGCTTCATGGTGGAACACCGCTTGAAAAGAGTCATAAGACTTTGTTGAGCCTTCCAAAAGGCTGCGTCTTTAGGACTCATCATAGGCTCCTTTGTGTTTACAGAGGAAGGGCGGTTTTCAAGTTCCAAATAAATCTGGGACCAAGTTAGAAATAATAAGTGGGTAATAAATCCAATAAAATGAGTAGTTCAGTATACAGAATAAGGAGGCTTATAAGAGAAGGAAAGTAATGAATTCAAGGACGCACAGAATAATGGAAAATTTAACAATATAGAACTTGCGAAAAGTTCATAAACCTGTTATGATTTCATTTAGAATCAATTCTAGGATTATTGGTCTAAAATGCGACTTGGCTGGTGAGTCTAGTTTACATCTAGATCTGGACGGATTGCGACTTAACTGGACCGATAATGGAGGAAGAAGCAAATATTCCAACTTCCAATAATGGAGATTGAGGTTTGAGAGGAGATGAATCAGTATGTAAATGCAAACGATGAATGTCAAATAGAGCTCTCTGCTATTAGTTTGGATAATGAAGATGAAAGAGAAAAAAAAAAAACTCATGGGAAAATAAAATAGAATGAGGGAAATTAAAGGGGTAAGATATCGTAAAAACCAATTAGGGTTACTACTAATCAATTTCACCGTTAGATCGATTATGTTGATCCAACGATTATATTTATTTCTATCTTTGTATGGTTATCATCCTCATATTTAATGTAAAAGTATTAAATATGAAAAATCATAACCATACAAAAGTGAAAATAAATATAAAGTATTAAATATGGAGAATCATAACTATATAAAGATGAAAATAAATACAACCGTTGGATCAACATAATCGATCTAACAGTGAAATTGATTAGTAGTAACCCTAATTGGTTTGTACAATATCCTATCCCGAAATTAAATTGTGAAAACTTGAATTTTAAGAGAAGGATATTTTTGTATCATATTGTAAGGGTGGGCACTTGCCCCCTTCTCTTCAACATGGTTCTGCCCCTGCTTGTACACAAAAACACAATATGTGAGGCCTATGCAAAACTATGCAAGAGAAGAGAGATAAAAATATTTAATGTTCATGATCCTTGGTATTGCACCATTATTGGTAATTCCAGCCTGCATATACTTCAGTAGCTTGAAGTAAGTTAATCCAATGAATAAGGATTGGTGCAAGGCTTTCAGCAGATGCTGCATCCATACATGTCCTTGTTGGTGATGCGCTGGGACTATTTGTTCCTAACAAATTATTGGGAGAAAAGTGGACTGGTACTTCGATACAAACAATTCTCTCATTAGAAGGTAAAAAAAGACTAAAAAGAAGCAAATATTTTTTTAAAATTTCTGTATTATAGAATACATAATAGAATTACATAATTGATCAAAACAAAAATTTAGTTCTTTCAAATTGTTTCTTTTTAAGAACCAAAAGGATTTGTGCCAAAATAATAGATGCGAAGAAGAATAAGAGACCTTGGACACATAATGGATCTTAAAGTATTATTTTTGCATCCCCTGACCAAATCCACCCATATTAGGATTACTCTTTAACGGTTAGGATTACTCTTTAACGGTTGATCAAGTTTAATAGATTTGCCCTCTGAAACAAGAAGTTCTGGTCCTGGAGGTATAATATCAATTATTTCATGTCCATCTGATGCATCCACTATAGTTATCTCGTACCTCCTATGATTTTGTTTACTATACCTGCTACCATAGCATTATAAACATTATTATTACTCTTGCTCCCGTTGGGATAAATCTGACTTCCCCCAAGTTACCGCCTATGTATATAGGATATTTTAAGAAGTGAACATCTGTATTCGTAGTGGGATATGGGGAAAGAATAAAAAATGTGATTTCACTATATTTCTGACCAAGAATAGGGCCTACCGCAAGAATACTTTCTTTTGTAGGACGATAGCTTTGAAAAGTCAGATTCATATCCTTTCTTTTGTTTTAGGCAAAATATGATCGAGAGGGATAATCCAAAACCCTCCAGTAAAATAAGAACAACCCCACATTCAAAGTACATTTTTTACCATTAGCAAGAACTTGCTTCCTTGCAATCATAAGGAATTCTAATAACCACTTCAAATACAGTATCAGGAAGTACTGCTTGTGGAACCTTAATATCCATAGGCTTATTAGCTAAATGGAAATTGGCACATACAATATTGCCGGTTGCTTCTCATGAATTTTCATAACCTTGCTGTGCAAAAATGGCATATGCACTTGAAGGATGCTTGAGTTATTATATATATATCATGAGCGATATGGAAATAGATCGAGTAATCTTTTCCTTTATCCAAGAAAATGCATTTCTAGCTTGCATGGTTCAATCATTAATCCTGAAAATTTCTATAATAAGATTCAGTAGGTCGCTGGTATAGTTCCCTATCAAGGATTCTACTATTTAGTGGAATAATTTTTCTAGAATATAGGAAGAATCCCTTGAGTGGGTAGAAAGAAAAAAAAAAAGTAAATTTTTGAATGTTTAGAACTTTCGTAAAAAATAAAAAACTTTAGAATTACATCAGCAGATCATTTTTTCAGTCATTCATTGAATGATAAATCGCT